TATACCTCATTCTTGAGTATTATCATGGTCATCTTCAAAGTACTCCCTTTGGCCATCTGGTGACTGTAGTGATATTCAGCAATGAGATATATAGCGTTTGTAATTTGTGTTTCTCAGTATGTGTTTCTCATGTTTGTCACGATCAGACTGGGTAGCCTGAGATGATAGGTTTTTAAATCCATGGTGAAGCGCCCTTCTCATCACATTGAGTACATATTAACATGACTTACCACTGTGACATTTACCATGATCACTTGGTTGAGGCAATGTCTTTCAGCTTTCTTAACTGTGAAGTTTCTGTTTTTCTCCTTCCATGCTCTATTTTTTGGAAGCAAAGCTCTAAGTCCAGCCCACACTCAAAAGCAGGGGTGCCAGAGGTTGAGCACTTTGGAAGAAGGTTCTGCTTGGGCTGGAGCAAGTTTGATTTGTGATAATATTTATTTGACTAATTTTTATTTTTATTTATTTTTTTTTGAGACAGAGTCTCACTTTGTTGCCCTGGGTAGAGTGCTGTGGCATCACAGCTCACAGCAACCTCCAACTCTTGGGCTTCGGCCATTCTCTTGCCTTAGCCTCCCGAGTAGCTGGGACTACAGGTGCCCGCCACAACCCCCGGCTATTTTTTGTTGTAGTTGTCACTGCTGTTTTAGCTGGCCAGCACTGGGTTCAAACCCGCCACCTGCGGTATATGGGGCTGGCGCCCTACCCACTGAGCCACAGGCACTGCCCTAAATAATTTTTATTTAAACAGTAAAAAATTTTACTGTAAACACATAAGCTTAATTCTATTTACAGTTAAAAAGTTGGAAACAGAAGAGATAAGTAGAAGAGGATTGGAAAACTAAGTAGCTTTCTAGCTATTTCCTAGAGAAGGATTTCAATGTAAGGATGACATAAGAAGTCTGAAAATGTTAGTAGTTAGATGAGTAGCCCTTCCACTCTTGCCTTAAGAATTATCCAAAAGAAATGAGAATAAGAATCAAAAGTATACATTTCAACTTCCAAGAAATTGGAAGAAATTTGAAACCTCAATCCACAACATGTGAGGAAGGGCTGCCACATGGACAGAAGGGAGACAGGGCACAGAAAGATGTTAAGAGAAGATGCTCATCTCTGCAACCCTGAGGCAAACTTAACAAGAGAAAGAAGTCAGATAAAATAAGAAATTAGGCTCAGAGCCTGTAGCTTAAGCAGCTAAGGCACCAGTCCCATACATCAGAGCTGGCAGGTTCGAATCCAGCCTGGGCCTGCCAAACAACAATGACAACTGCAACCAAAAGATAGCTGGGGCTTGGGACCTGTGGCTCAAGTGGGTAAGGTGCCAGCCACATACACCTAAGGGGCGGGTTTGAATCTAGCCCGGGCTCACCAAACCATGGCTGCAACCAAAAAATAGCCAGGCATAGTGGCGGGAGCCTGTGGTCCCAGCTACTTGGGAGGCAGAGGCAGGAGACTCGCTTGAGCCCAGGAGTTGGAAGTTGCTGTGAGCTTTGATGCCACAGCACTCTACCCAGGGGGACAGCTGGAGGCTCTGTCTCAAAAAAAAAGGATAGCTGGGCATTGTGGTGGAGGCCTGTAGTCGCTATAGCTACTTGGGAGGCTGAGGCAAGAGAATTGCTTAAGCCCAGGATTTAGAGGTTGCTGTGAGCTGTAATGCCACAGCACTCTACCCAGGGTGATGGCTTGAGGCTGTCTCAAATAAATAAATAAAAGAAATTAGAAAATTAAATGTAAGAATGAGGAAAGAGGTAATACAATTATCATGATTTACACGTGATTTAAGGAAAATCCAAGAAATGTATTTAAAATGGTACAAATTACAAAAATTTAATAAGCAACCTCCAACTCTTGGGCTTTGGCCATTTTCTTGCTTTAGCCTCCCAAGTAGCTGGGAGTACAGGCGCCCACCACAACACCCAGCTATTTTTTTTTTTTTTGTAGTTGTCACTGCTGTTTAATAAGCTAGGAGCAAAATTGGCATGAAGAGATAACTTTATAATAAAAAAAAGACATCATTTGTGGAATATCGGAAAGATAAATCCCTTTATAACAAAATTTTAGAGAGATGCTATATTAATAGATAGTAATATCAACATCCCTAATAGGAACAATCAACATCAAGATATCAATTCTAAGCTACCTCTTTATTTAACATAGAATCTACACAAACTACTAAAACGATTTTGAGGATAGACTGAATAATTATACAGGAAATAAACACAAAAAGGCAAAATCACAGGGATGGAAGACCACTCAGCGGTAGTCAGAGGTTAAGTGAAGGGGAAGTAGACTACATAGGGACAGCATGAAGAAATTTGGGAAGCAGCAAAGGGGGGAAGACACAACTCTAAGTATTTGTCAAAACTCATAGAAATGTATATAAGAAGTGAATTTTACTGAATATAAATTTTAAAATAAGTCAAAGAAAATAACCCGTATTAGAAGAGCCAAAAAATTCTGAAAATAGAAAGTAATGAGGGGAGATGCATCAAAACGTATCATAGTGCTACAATAATCTAAGCAGCGTGGCACTGGCAGATGAGTAGACAGATACATGAAAGCAGCTACAAAGTCCAAAAATGGACCCAAATATAAAAAGGAATTTAGTATATTACATTTAAAATCTAGAGAGAAAAGATAGTTTTAAATATATGGAACTGGTTAGCAATTTAGAGGGGAAAAAAAAGTTGAACCCTACTGAGCTTTTATCAAAATAAATGGATTTATTTACAGATGGATTATAGTTGAAGGACAGAAACCTGAAACACAACTTTTTTTTTTTTTT